ATGAAATGAAATGAAATGAAATGAAATGAAATGAAATGAAATGAAACCTTCAAGTTACTGGCTCCACCAAGACATTTTAAAATGCAAAGGATGGGTGATGCCAAAAACCTAGAAATCATGTATCGTGTGCTTATACATAAAGATCATAAAACAAGGTAAAATTACAAAATGAAAACATCTAGACTACAGTGCTGGCTACTGATAGTTTTAAAAATAAGGGCATTATGCAAGGAAGAAGTTTACTCTGAGGACAAACAGGGAAATCCTGAGATATACATACTATTACTATCGATTCATCAGAATTTGCTTTTAAGAGGCTATCCTTTTAGGCCTAACAAATCTCACTGAAAGTCTACCTGGGAACTACTTCTCATAACATTTACCAAGATCTTGGCTATTTTTATGACTCTATAACTACCCAGAAGCCACTTCCTGTTTCCACCTTGAACAAGCTGGGCTACACAATTTCTTTTTTTGTTGTTTTATTTTTTTTAAATTTTTATTTTAAAGAAAATGGTACCAAAAAAAGAAAAGAACCACAGCAAAATACAAAACAAAGCAAGGACATTAAAAATGACACGGGGTTTCAAACCAAATGATAGGGATTAACAGTGGTTGTTATATTACATATTGTTAACTTCAACAAAGTTGCTCAGATTACCAGATGTAAGAATAGAAGATTGATCAAATCATTAAAGGGAATGAGGAAATAATAATTTAAAAGAACATTAGAGACAATACATAGTTTCACTAGACAGGATTGTAGGAATTCACCAATGGTTGCTATACTGCAAATTGTTGTCATCACATAAGTTGCTCAGATTATCAGATATAGGCATGCAAAATTGGTCAAAGTATAAAAAAAAAAACTTTTCAATCATTAACTGTTCCCCTCAACAAACCATCAGACACCAGCAGTACAGTTACACCACCGAGATATATATATATATAATGCCTTAGTACTTTCTTTTTCTTTCCCTCATCCCAGTTGTTCCTTCCTTTGAGCAATTTCTTTCCCTTTCTTACTATGTATTGTACATTTTGGGTTTTATTTACTCTTTCACGTTCTTATACCAGGGAGACGTAATTTCTATAATCCCCTCCCAGTTCTAAAATTGTAGTCAATCTATGGGACAGAAATAAAAGTTACACAACAACTTACCAGTAGTTGGGAGTTCTATTTTATTGCAGTGGTCCTGATTGCAGCAATATGTTGTAGTAACAGCCCCAGTTTTTGAAGAGGGTGCACATACAAACGGTCTATCTCGAGGAATTAGATCAATTTCAGCTATACACATGGTATTGTGTATAACTCTGTCTGTAGTCTCTGTGACAGAGACAAAGCAGAGCCCATCTGTCACGCAGGTATAATTGTCTTTTGCACAGAGCTGGCAGAAACACTGTAACGCTGGAAAAAAGAGCACAAGATTCTATTAAAAAAATCAAGATTAACAGTCTGAAATTACCCAATATTTACTCTATTAATATATTCTTAATCCTGTTATTATATAATTTCTATGCACTGTTCAAAAAACAAAACTCTTCCAAATTCTGCTGAAAGCCATTTTGGAGCAGGGTCTTTTTGAGACAAGGTCTCACTGTGCAGTTCAGGCTGGCCTTGAACTCACTTTGTGGCCCAGGCTGGCCTCAAACTCACAGTAATCTTTCTGCCTCAGCCTCTCAAGTGCTGGGATTACAGGCGTACAACATCACACCCGGCCAAAATATTCATACTGCACCAGGTAGTCTCTATTTTTGTGCAAATCCTGAGAAAGATCTTTTCCAGCTAAGATGAAGACATTCTCTCAGTAACATTAGGAAGACCACACCAGTAACAATTCATACATGTTCCAACCACACTTGATCTTTACAGCTTAACTCCAGGAGTGATGCCTTTAAGAGTCACTGTGTTCCAATATATAGATACCTACACAGCTGTGCTACCTCAGCTGTGCTCTCTAGTAAAGGTTAGTGCTCCCCAAAGTATACCGTGTTTACCAGAATTACTATTTTTGTTTTTCTCTCCCATGAAACTGTAAGTTCCTTGATGCCAGAAATTATACTGATGATTTCAGCAAATCTGCCATTTAGTACAAAGTCTGAAACCACAGCATCTTAAAAATGCTTACTGAATGAATGATAGAATGCATGCCTATATTTCACCCTGGTCTTATAAAGCTGCAAAGTACAGATGTGTTCCTCAGGTTCAACCAAATCTCCAATTACTCAACAGCAAGAGCAAGGGGAAAATCTATGTGTGTAGAACGGCCATTTATGATGAAACCAGCGAGGTAGGTCCACAGTATGTAGAAAGGAATGCTTAGCAGACAGGCAGGCCAAAAGAAAGCTAACTCCTTGAATGATTAAGTTTTTCTAGCCTTGACTGGTTCCTGGAGATGAGTCTCAAACTTCTGGAACAGTCTCCTTGATAAAAATGTTTAGGTATGCCTGAAGCTTTAGGCCACAAGGTACCAATTTGACTGAACTGCTTATAGTAACAACATGATGACTGTAAATACGTATTTTCGCTGTTAAGATAGGGGTGGTAAAATCTAAGCAGCAGATGATAATCACACAGACTGACCCCTAATAAAAACCATGTAGAGAACTTTCCTTGGTTGGCAACACTGCACACGCTGCAGGAACGTGTGTGTCGCAGAGCTATCACATCTCTGTTGAGAGAGTAACAAACATCTGTCCTACTATACTAGGAGAAAATACCTGGAAATTTGTACTGGTTTCTTCTGGACTACACTGTAGCTTCTTTTCTCTTTTGATTTTTAACCTGTATCTTTTCACTGTAATAAACCACAGCCAAACTATGATTGCTTCTGTGAGTCTTGTGAGTCCTCCTACCAAACCATCAGGCCTAAAGGTTGTCTTGGAGACCCCCAACTGACTTACTAAACTCAAACTTAGGAATGTCAGGTTCTCCTGAGGCACCTGCTTTTTGGTGGCACATTTGTCTATTTTCTCTATGGGACAGCAAATGTTTTCCATCTTCATGAACAGTTCAGCTATTTGATTTAGCTCTTCCCAAGTATGAAAGGAACTCAAGAAAACAAGAAAGAGATAAAATGACAATCTATTAAAAAGTTGTTAAAAAAACAGTAGGTCTTCATGATGATGCTTGTTGGGGTAAATATAAGTTTACTGGGCATAATTTCCTAAGGAGAGATTCTGAGCTAGGAATTCATAGGCTGGCTTCAGAAATACATGAATCCTGTGAACTATATGTCAGATGTGTACATTTTTTCCTTGCATTTTCAAGGAAAAGGTCTATTGCTTTTAACAAAACACACAAAAGGGTCTGTGACCCACAAAAGATTAAAACCATCACTAGAAGATGATACTATCTTTTCCCAAGTCTTTCTTACTTGTGTATGAACAGCTATACCACTCATGTTTTCTTTGTAAGCATTACCTTCACCAGTTACTTTACCAAAAGCTTAGTATTCAAAATTAGTAACTTATAGCATTAGAAGAGTTCCAATGACAACTAACAGAGAACACTGTAATACAGTGTGGAAACTACTGTATCTATAACATGCTTCCATGAATACTCTCCCACTTCTAAGGGCTTCATGGTTGCCCTAGTGTACATGAGATAAGGACTAAATAAACATTTGTCCTACCAATTAAGACTTACTAGGGCCAGGCCGGGAATATAGCTCAGCGGCACAAGCACCTGTCTGGCAAGCGCAAGGTCCTAAATTTGATTCCCAGTACCAAAAAAAAAAAAAAAAAAGTAAAAAAAAAGACTTACTAGGACCAAAATCTACTTACCATTATGATGATGATGTTTTTCATGACTTTGGTCTTTATATATATTCTCTCTCTGCCTAGTTTAAATCCACCACCTCTTCTGTTTCTCATCCTTTAAGACATTAGCAAACAAGGTCTTCTCTATGTGTACTCCAAATCTCTCCCCTTTGGGTAGCTCTTTTAAATATCCTCCTACATTCCTCTCTGCACACCCTAAGGATAAGTGCAAATCAATCTATTTATAGTTTGTGGTTTAAGTGTCCCTCATTATCTTAAGAAGGGCCTTGTTTTTATTTTTCATGGCTTTGAATTCCGAACACCTACACAATACTCAGAAAGTATTTACTAAAACAATGCTGCCCATATAAAAAGTCATACTTGGGAAAGGAAGAAAAATCTAAGAGTTTTGTATGCAAATTTTTAAAAATATTTTCATTTCAGCTGGGCCTGGTGGTGCACACCTGTAATCCCAGCACTCTAGGTTCAGGCAGGAGGATCACTGGGCTACAAAATGAATTCAAGGCTACACAGCAGAATCTTGCCTCAAAAAAAACAAAAAAATAATAATTTCAAAGGCAATCTAAAAACAATGATAAACATTCTGGGTTATGAATAATCAAAATCTAAACAAGCACTGTCACTGAGCTTTTACCGCTACTCCTGCAGGTATATGAAGACCTCACTCAGGTCACATGGTCTTGATGCACACTTTATATAGAGACCAACTTTAACAGTAATTGTGAGGGAGAAAAAGTACAAGGAATTTGATTCAGGGAAATATACAGTAAGATAGGCATGATATATTCCAAAGCCAACAGCCAAACAGCCAATAACACATATGCCCTACAATATATGCAAGTCTAACATGAATCCTATCTTTGTAGTAAAATTTGCAAAAATTCCTTAGTAAATATGATTTTTTTACATATGTGATGACATTTTTCCATTCTCACTTCCAGCAATAATTGGTTTACAAAACCATTTAATGAAGATTTCAATAAAAGAATAATGTTAACACTATTCCAGTGAACAAAACAACTAACATCTCATTAAACTGAGACTTGAGGAATTCTTGCTGGCACGTGTTTTGGTGAAGTATGAGGACGCATTACCCTGAACTGACCGACAAAGCCCTGAAGTCATTAAGACCATTTTGTACAAAACTGATATGGACAGGCACTTGCAGCTTTTACTATCACTGAAGTTAAAATAATTAAGCATCTCAAACAGAATCAGACTTAAGGCTATTTTTTTCTCTAGTGAAACCTAAACATCATCTGTCACACTGAATAATTATATCAATATGAATTTTGGTTTTTGTAGTCCTCTTTGCGTTTAATCTGTAGATTTGGGTTACAGTAGTAAGGCAGAAACAGAAGGGTTTTATATATCTATCCATCCATTTAATTTTTGCCCATACAACGTAAGTAACATCATGAAAAATACACTGTATTTTTCTTTTTTTTTTTGGTCTTTTTTGAGACAAGGTCTCGTTATATAGTTCAGGCTGGCCTTGAGCTCACTTTGTAGCCCAGGCTGGTCTCAAACTCACAACGATCCTCCTGCCTCAGCCTCCCCAGTGCTGGGATTACAGGCATGCGCCACCACACCTGGCCTGATACACTGTATTTTTCAAAGAAGTCATTATATTATGGCAAACTTGAAAAAGGGCTAAAGGGCTTTTCTAACCTACCATTTCAATAACAATAACTTACAAGACAAATATAAATATCACACAACACAAAGCTTACCCAGGTAAGGATTTATCTCTTAAGGGAATTTAAAAATTCTATTTTGCCACTTCAGATCAGTCTTCACTGAATATAAGATTGCTGTTATGTAATACAGTAAAATAGATTAGAGAAAAAGAAATCAAAAATTTAAAAATTCCCACAAATGCTTTAATTCTCATTTTTAAAATTTCTAATTTATTAACAGATTTTAATTTTTACATATATGTATAGTATAAAATTTCCATCTAAAAAAAGGTATACAATGACATCTGCTTATCCTCCTCCCCGGAGTCCAAGCTCCACTCCCTACTGCAAAATACTAGGCCACTAACTTGGATTCTTTCAATTAATTCTCCAATTATTCATTAAATATCTTTATATGTGAGGTATAATGTGGGCTATGGGAGTGGAGGGATAAATAACAAATAATTTTCACTTAAGCAGTTCACTAAAGTGGTTCTATAAGAGGCATTAAACATAATTAAAACCCAAGATCCCAAGGAGAATAATCGAAGTACTATACTTCAATGCTGCTGAGATAAAACAGATACCAAGAAAAGCTTCACAGTGCATTTAAATCAGAACTTGGAGAATACATACAATTTGCTAGAGAGATGCAGATGAGAAAATTATGAATGGGTTGGGTTGGTTCCCCCTTATGCAATGGAAGGATTTCACCCCTTTGTGGCTAGAATCCCAAGTAAGATCATCAAATTTAAGCAATTATTCAAGATGCTAACAACCATAATGGTTTTCATCAGCAAATGAACACAATATCTCCCCAAACTACTTCATCTTATTGAGATATTTATCAAATGTGCACATTAACACATTTTTGAACTAATATAAATTATATAGCCGGTCATGGTGGCACATGCCTGTAATTCTAGCATGTGGCAGGCTGAGGCAA